TGGCCTTCCCTTCTTTAGGCCTCATTCTCATTGGTGTCACATGACACTGGCACTTCTCATTGGTGGCACCTGACACTGGCACTTCTCATTGGTGGCACCTGACACTGGCACTTCTCATTGGTGGCACCTGACACTGGCACTTCTCATTGGTGGCACCTGACACTGGCACTTCTCATTGGTGCCACACGACACTGGCACTTCTCACTGGTGCCACATGACACTGGCACTCCTCATTGGTGCCACTTGACACTGGCACTTCTCACTGGTGCCACACGACACTGGCACTTCTCACTGGTACCACACGACACTGGCACTTCTCACTGGTGCCACACGACACTGGCACTTCTCACTGGTGCCACATGACACTGGCACTCCTCATTGGTGCCACTTGACACTGTCACTTCTCACTGGTGCCACATGACACTGTCAGAGGTCGGCCACCAACACACACCCTCGGGGGACGCTTGTCCAAGCACCTACCAGTTCCAAAAAGCATATTTGAAAACATTTTCGTAATGTATAAAGACGGTATAGTTAGCGCCAGGTATATCACATATAATCATATATAACATCATATATAACAGTGTATAACAGTGTATAGGTAGGTCTAGGCTAGGGTAGGCCAAGTGTATTGGATCTATTATACATTTCAATCTATCATTCAGCTCTAGCTACGATTCCAGATTGAAATGTGCATATTTTATCATGTCTATTTACACACCTGAACCTTTCATGCGCTGTATGAAACAGGATTTTCTCATATATATACATTTATATTATATATGGTGAGTTTATGCATAGTTAGCATTAGGTAAGGTTTTTGTTGGGTATGGAAAGTTAGGCCAGGCTGACAACACGGGCTGACAACACTGGCTGACAACACGGCTGACAACACTGGCTGACAACACTGGCTGACAACACGGCTGACAACACGGCTGACAACACTGGCTGACAACACAGCTGACAACACGGCTGACAACACTGGCTGACAACACTGGCTGACAACACAGACTGACAACACGGCTGACAACACGGCTGACAACACGGCTGACAACACTGGCTGACAACACAGACTGACAACACGGGCTGACTACACGGCTGACAACACTGGCTGACAACACTGGCTGACAACACAGACTGACAACACGGCTGACAACACAGACTGACAACACGAACTAACAACACAGACTGACAACACGAACTAACAACACGGGCTGACAACACTGGCTGACAACACTGGCTGACAACACTGGCTGACAACACGCACTAACAAAGACTGACAACAAGGACTAACAACACGGCTGACAACACCGGCTGACAACACGAACTAACAACAAGGACTAACAACACCGGCTGACAACACCGGCTGACAACACGAACTAACAACAAGGACTAACAACAAGGACTAACAACAAGGACTAACAACACCGGCTGACAACACTGGCTGACAACACGAACTAACAACAAGGACTAACAACACCGGCTGACAACACTGGCTGACAACACGAACTAACAACAAGGACTAACAACAAGGACTAACAACACCGGCTGACAACACCGGCTGACAACACGAACTAACAACAAGGACTAACAACAAGGACTAACAACACCGGCTGACAACACCGGCTGACAACACGAACTAACAACAAGGACTAACAACACCGGCTGACAACACTGGCTAACAACACGAACTAACAACAAGGACTAACAACACCGGCTGACAACACTGGCTGACAACACGAACTAACAACAAGGACTAACAACACGGCTGACAACACGGACTGACAACACGGACTGACAACACGGACTGAAAGTGAACGAAACACAAAGTTTCGAACACAGTCAAGTGATCTATAAGGAAATACTGACGCGAAGATTTTTGTAAATTGACTAACAAGTCAATTGACTAACAAGTCAATTGACTAACAAGTCAATTGACTAACAAGTCAATTGACTAACAAGTCAATTGACTAACAAGTCAATTGACTAACAAGTCAATTGACTAACAAGTCAATTGACTAACAAGTCAATTGACTAACAAGTCAATTGACTAACAAGTCAATTGACTAACAAGGTGTGGGACCGATGCCCATATGTTCTAATGCTGGAGTGTTGTCAGCCAGGATCGAACACTGTACAGACGGGCACACCGAACACACACACACAGTGTCCGAATTGCTCCGTCCGAGAGAAGTTACAACCTAATCCAACCCGTCTTTGGTTTAGGAGTTCGAAAAAAATGACGTTCGATTTTTTTTTCATCGAAAGAGTTTGTCGGTCACCTCCTGTTCGTATTGTACCTTTGTAAATGCTTTCTCGGCATTAAAAATATGTGCAAAGGGGCCTCGTAGCCTGGTGGATAGCGCGCAGGACTCGTAATTCTGTGGCGCGGGTTCGATTCCTGCACGAGGCAGAAACAAATGGGCAAAGTTTCTTTCACCCTGAATGCCCCTGTTACCTAGCAGTAAATAGGTACCTGGGAGTTAGTCAGCTGTCACGGGCTGCTTCCTGGGGGTGGAGGCCTGGTCGAGGACCGGGCCGCGGGGACACTAAAGCCCCGAAATCATCTCAAGATAACCTCAAGATAACGTTTGTATTTGTCGTACCCACATACTACATATACAGATAACTGCCAACAAAATTCCTAACATAACCTAGGCAGATCTATACAATAAGTTCAAATGTATAATAATATTAAACTATATGGTAAAATTGTGATTTAGAATACACAGTTTATTTGTTGATTTAGCGGCGGGGCCCTCAAGCCACTGAGATATTCCATGAAGGGGCCCTCAAGCCACTGAGATATTCCATGAAGGGGCCCTCAAGCCACTGAGATATTCCATGAAGGGGCCCTCAAGCCACTGAGATATTCCATGAAGGGGCCCTCAAGCCACTGAGATATTCCATGAAGGGGCCCTCAAGCCACTGAGATATTCCATGAAGGGGCCCTCAAGCCACTGAGATATTCCATGAAGGGGCCCTCAAGCCACTGAGATATTCCATGAAGGGGCCCTCAAGCCACTGAGATATTCCATGAAGGGGCCCTCAAGCCACTGAGATATTCCATGAAGGGGCCCTCAAGCCACTGAGATATTCCATGAAGGGGCCCTCAAGCCACTGAGATATTCCATGAAGGGGCCCTCAAGCCACTGAGATATTCCATGAAGGGGCCCTCAAGCCACTGAGATATTCCATGAAGGGGACCTCAAGCCACTGAGATATTCCATGAAGGGGACCTCAAGCCACTGAGATATTCCATGAAGGGGCCCTCAAGCCACTGAAATATTCCATGAAGGGGCCCTCAAGCCACTGAGATATTCCATGAAGGGGCCCTCAAGCTACTGATATATTCCATGAAGGGGACCTCAAGCCACTGAGATATTCCATGAAGGGGCCCTCAAGCTAATGAGATATTCCATGAAGGGGCCCTCAAGCCACTGAGATATTCCATGAAGGGGACCTCAAGCCACTGAGATATTCCATGAAGGGGCCCTCAAGCCACTGAGATATTCCATGAAGGGGACCTCAAGCCACTGAGATATTCCATGAAGGGGACCTCAAGCCACTGAGATATTCCATGAAGGGGCCCTCAAGCCACTGAAATATTCCATGAAGGGGCCCTCAAGCCACTGAGATATTCCATGAAGGGGCCCTCAAGCTACTGAGATATTCCATGAAGGGGCCCTCAAGCCACTGAGATATTCCATGAAGGGGCCCTCAAGCTACTGAGATATTCCATGAAGGGGCCCTCAAGCCACTGAGATATTCCATGAAGGGGCCCCTCAAGCTACTGAGATATTCCATGAAGGGGACCTCAAGCCACTGAGATATTCCATGAAGGGGCCCTCAAGCTACTGAGATATTCCATGAAGGGGCCCTCAAACCACTGAAATATTCCATGAAGGGGACTTCAAACCACTGAGATATTCCATGAAGGGGCCCTCAAGCCACTGAGATATTCCATGAAGGGGCCTTCAAACCACTGAGATATTCCATGAAGGGGCCCTCAAGCCACTGAAATATTCCATGAAGGGCCTCTCAAGCCACTGAAATATTTCATGAAGGAGCCCTCAAACTACTGAAATATTCCATGAAGGAGCCCTCAAACCACTGAGATATTCCATATCATGGACCCTCAAAAGGGGATGTCAAGCCACTGAATTACTGTTGCAATTACGAGGGGATTTACAGAATGCCCGAGGGGAGGGGGGTGGGACCCCTTTTTAATAATAATAAACATAATCTTCATTTGACAATAATTCTCACTTATACTGGGGTGGGATCGCACTCTCGCGCGCTGATGGTCTGAGCGACCCATCCGTCACCACCAGGTGTATAGGTACGGCAGGTCCCCCTGACAGTATGGGGTGGATGTTGTATGTTATGGCCCCCTGTATGTTGTATGTTGTGGCCCCTGGCTGTGAGGTGGTGTATGGAGGGGTGAATGAGGTGGTTCACCAGGGTGCTGCAGTTTGAAGACCGTTGCTTGTTCCTTGTGTAGAGGTGTTCCTTCATGTAGAGAACCAGCTGGGTGATGGCAGCAGTGGACCCGTGAAGCAGTCGTCGCAGGTGACTACCACCACCACTACCACCACTACCACCACTATCCACCACCATCACCAACCCACCCACCACTACCACCACCACTTTTATAGTCATGGCGTGCACATAAAAAAGCAAAGGTGAGCCAAAATTAATCAAGTTAACCCGCCCCAAACATGTGACTCCTCCATAGCACACATGGCTGTAAATGCCTTGATTACTCTTCACTTTCACCTGACCAACACAACTAATTGTTTGAATTTGTTTTTAGAATATTAAACTCAAAACCACACGACTGAGGATTTTAAAGTGGGGGGAAGATTTACAAATGCAGTTTACTGTAGAGAAATGTTCGAGTCTGGGCTTAGGTCATGATAACAGCGTTGCAAGATATCAGCTGCACAATGCTGAAATTGTGACATTGGGATGTGGAAAAAAGATCATTTTCAGGATTATTAACCATCATTGTACAAAAGAAATGCATTGTTGGTGGGTGACTTGGGGTGGGTGCCATTGTTGGTGGGTGACTTGGGGTGGGTGCCATTGTTGGTGGGTGACTTGGGGAGGGTGCCATTGTTGGTGGGTGACTTGGGGTGGGTGCCATTGTTGGTGGGTGACTTGGGGTGGGTGCCATTGTTGGTGGGTGACTTGGGGTGGGTGCCATTGTTGGTGGGTGACTTGGGGAGGGTGCCATTGTTGGTGGGTGACTTGGGGTGGGTGCCATTGTTGGTGGGTGACTTGGGGTGGGTGCCATTGTTGGTGGGTGACTTGGGGTGGGTGCCATTGTTGGTGGGTGACTTGGGGAGGGTGCCATTGATGACGGGTGACTTGGGGAGGGTGACATTGTTGGTAGGTGACTTGGGGAGGGTGACATTGTTGGTAGGTGACTTGGGGAGGGTGACATTGTTGGTAGGTGACTTGGGGAGGGTGCCACTGTTGGTGGGTGACTTGGGGAGGGTGACATTGTTGGTAGGTGACTTGGGGTGGGTGCCATTGTTGGTGGGTGACTTGGCGAGGGTGCCATTGTTGGTGGGTGACTTGGCGAGGGTGCCATTGTTGGTGGGTGACTTGGGGTGGGTGCCATTGTTGGTGGGTGACTTGGGGTGGGTGCCATTGTTGGTGGGTGACTTGGGGAGGGTGCCATTGTTGGTGGGTGACTTGGGGAGGGTGCCATTGATGGTGGGTGACTTGGGGAGGGTGCCATTGTTGGTGGGTGACTTGGGGAGGGTGCCATTGTTGGTGGGTGACTTGGGGAGGGTGCCATTGTTGGTGGGTGACTTGGGGAGGGTGCCATTGTTGGTGGGTGACTTGGGGTGGGTGCCATTGTTGGTGGGTGACTTGGCGAGGGTGCCATTGTTGGTGGGTGACTTGGCGAGGGTGCCATTGTTGGTGGGTGACTTGGGGTGGGTGACTTGGCGAGGGTGCCATTGTTGGTGGGTGACTTGGGGTGGGTGCCATTGTTGGTGGGTGACTTGGGGAGGGTGCCATTGTTGGTGGGTGACTTGGGGAGGGTGCCATTGTTGGTGGGTGACTTGGGGAGGGTGCCATTGTTGGTGGGTGACTTGGGGAGGGTGCCATTGTTGGTGGGTGACTTGGGGAGGGTGCCATTGATGGTGGGTGACTTGGGAAGGGTGACATTGATGACGGGGGAAACACGGGCTGAACGACTGAACAACTCAGCCCATCTTCCCGTCTAGACAGTACTCACACTAACGACGTGGGCCACCGTCCATATATTGACGTAATGGCCAATTAGAAAGTAAATTTGATGCTTTCGGGAAAAAGTTTTATTTTTTCTACACAGGAGGGTACAGGAGGGTACAGGAGGGTGCAGGAGGGTACAGGAGGGTACAGGAGGGTGCAGGAGGGTGCAGGAGGGTGCAGGAGGGTACAGGAGGGTGCAGGAGGGTGCTGGAGGGTGCAGGAGGGTGCAGGAGGGTGCAGGAGGGTGCAGGAGGGTACAGGAGGGTACAGGAGGGTACAGGAGGGTGCAGGAGGTTACAGGAGGGTGCAGGAGGGTACAGGAGGGTACAGGAGGGTACAGGAGGGTGCAGGAGGATACAGGAGGGTACAGGAGGGTACAGGAGGGTACAGGAGGGTACAGGAGGATACAGGAGGGTGCAGGAGGGTACAGGAGGGTACAGGAGGGTACAGGAGGGTGCAGGAGGGTGCAGGAGGGTACAGGAGGGTGCAAGAGGGTGCAGGAGGGTGCAGGAGGGTACAGGAGGGTGCAGGAGGGTACAGGAGGGTACAGGAGGGTGCAGGAGGGTACAGGAGGGTACAGGAGGGTGCAGGAGGGTACAGGAGGGTGCAGGAGGGTGCAGGAGGGTACAGGAGGGTGCAGGAGGGTACAGGAGGGTACAGGAGGGTACAGGAGGGTGCAGGAGGATACAGGAGGGTACAGGAGGGTACAGGAGGGTACAGGAGGGTGCAGGAGGATACAGGAGGGTACAGGAGGGTACAGGAGGGTACAGGAGGGTACAGGAGGGTACAGGAGGATACAGGAGGGTGCAGGAGGGTACTGGAGGGTGCAGGAGGGTACAGGAGGGTACAGGAGGGTGCAGGAGGGTACAGGAGGGTACAGGAGGGTGCAGGAGGGTACAGGAGGGTGCAGGAGGGTGCAGGAGGGTACAGGAGGGTGCAGGAGGGTACAGGAGGGTACAGGAGGGTACAGGAGGATACAGGAGGGTGCAGGAGGGTACAGGAGGGTGCAGGAGGGTACAGGAGGGTACAGGAGGGTGCAGGAGGGTACAGGAGGGTACAGGAGGGTGCAGGAGGGTGCAGGAGGGTGCAGGAGGCAACCCGTTCTCGCAAATTTAATAAGTCAATATTGACTTATTAGTTGCATGCATAGGTGACATACTAAACATAATAGTTTCCCTTGAAAAGCTTCATAGAAAACACCGACCTTACCTAACCTACTTAGTATGTTAAAATAAGCATCTTATAGCTTCGTAATTACAATTGTTACTTAACCTATTATAGGTATAGGTTAGGTAATAATTGTAATTACGAAGCAATAAGATGCTTATCTTAACATACTAAGTAGGTTAGGTAAGGTCTGTGTTTTCTATGAAGCTTTTCAAGGGAAACTATTATGTTAAGTATGTCACCTATGCACATATTTAATAAGTCAATATTGACTTATTAAATTTGCGAGAACGGGTTGCAGATATTGCCGGAACAACCGTGGACATCTTCAAGAGGAACCTAGATTGTTTCCTCCAAGGAGTGCCGGACCAACCGGGCTGTGGTGGGTATGTGGGCCTGCGGGGCGCTCCAAGCAACAGCCTGGTGGACCAAACTCTCACAAATCGAGCCTGGCCTCGGGCCGGGCTTGGGGAGTAGAAGACCTCCCAGAACCCCATCTACCAGGTATCAACCAGGGTGAACAGAGGCGTGCAGTTAGGGACTGGCGCCTAGTCAATCCTCCCCGGCCAGGATACGAACCCAGGCCACATCGCTGGAGAAGCACAGGGCGAGTGTGTTACCACTGCGCCACGGAGACTGAAAATCTTGTATTTATGTTTAAATTAAACCAAACCTAACCTTCCTAGGCCTAATACCCGCTATCTGAGGCCTAACATAGTACATATATGTACTATACTAGGCCTAATGCTCACTATCTGAGGCCTAACATAGTACATATATGTACTATAGTAGGCCTAATGCCCGCTATCTGAGGGCTAACATAGTACACATATGCACTATACTAGGCCTAGCAATATTTAGTTTGGTTTTTAGTTTTAGTTATTCTGAACTCTACAAAGTGAATAGTAACAAGTTATATGTACTCGTCCAACACGTCAATATATGTACGATGGTGCAGGTAGCTACAACAAGGACTAACTAAAGAGACGGATGGCCCGGGGGAAGTATATACGGGGCCATACTGAGCGCGTGCGGCGCGTATGCACACTTAATTACCTAACCCAAAATTACAGGCTTTGAGGAGAGTTGAGGGCGCTCTCAAACTGTGAATAGACGTCTTCCCTGGAGAACTTGTGCTCCTTAAACTGCTGCCAATATCTTCTGTGTATCTTGAGCTTATCTTGAAGCTATCTTGAGGTTATCTTCAGGTTATCTAGAAGTTATCTCGAGATGATTTCGGGGCATGGCGTCCCCGCGGCCCGGTCCTTGACCAGGCCTCCTTTTCGTAACACACACACAGGAAGCAGCCCCATAACAGCTGTCTAACTCTCAGGTACCTATTTACTGCTAGGTGAACAGGAGTATCAGGGTGAAAGAATCTCTGCTCATTTGTTTCCCCCTCCGCTGGGGATCGAACCCGAACCTTAGGATTACGAATGCCGAGCGCTGTCTACTCAGCCGTCAGACCCCTTTGTGAGGTAAGGCGTCAACCCCGTGGCGCAGTAGGCTCCGTGTGTGTGTGTGTGTGTATGTGTGTGTGTGTGTGTGTGTGTGTGTGTGTGTGTGTGTGTGTGTGTGTGTGTGTGTGTGTGTGTGTTTGTGTGTGTGTGTGTGTGTGTGTATTCCCCTAGTTGTGCTTGCGGGGGTTGAGCTCTGCTCTTTCGGTCCCGCCTCTCAACTGTCAATCAACTGTTTACTAACTACTTTTTTTCTCTCCACACCACACACACTCCAGGAAGCAGCCCGTGACAGCTGACTAACTCCCAGGTACCTATTTACAGCTAGGTAACAAGGGCATTCAGGGTGAAAGAAACTTTGCCCATTTGTTTCTACCTGGTGCGGGAATCGAACCCGCGCCACAGAATTACGAGTCCTGCGCGCTATCCACCAGGCTACCAGGCCCCTATATATATATATGTGTGTATGTGTGTGTGTACTCACCAATTTGTACTCACCTATTTGTGTCTGCAGGATCGAGCACTGACTCTTGGATCCTCTTGGATCTTGGAGCACTTGGGTTGTTTACAGCAATGACTCCGGTCTCATTTCCCTATCACACCTAGTTTTAAAATTATGAATAATATTTGCTTCCACAACCTGTTCCCCAAGTGCATTCCATTTTCCCACTACTCTCACGCAAAAAGAAAACTTCCTAACATCCCTGTGACTCATCTGAGTTTCAAGCTTCCACCCATGTCCCCTCGTTCTGTTACTATTCCGTGTGAACATTTCGTCTATGTCCACTCTGTCAATTCCCCTGAGTATCTACTGCCAATTCAAGTGTCGAAAGGTTCAGTTCTTTCAGGCGCTCTTCATATCCCATCCCTCGTAACTCTGGGGCCAAGCCTCGTTGCAAACTTCTGAACCTTTTCCAGTTTCCTTATATGCTTATTCAGATGGGGACTCCATGATGGCGCGGCATACTCTAAGACTGGCCTCACGTAGGCAGTGTAAAGCGCTGTCTCCTCACTTAGCTCTCTGAATGAAGTTCTAACTTTCACCAGTGTAGAGTACACTGCTGTCGTTATCCTATTTATATGTGCCTCAGGAGTTAGATTAGGTGTTACGTCCACTCCCAGGTCTTTTTCTTGAATCGTTACAGGTAGGCAGTTCCCTTTCATTGTGTACTGTCTCTTTGGTTCCTCTGCTGTCACCTCTATATCTGATAGTCTTCCAACATGGGTAATCTCTTCTAACAATAGGAGCTGCTCAGGCTCAGTTTTGAACACTCCATGGAAACTGGCATACAGTACCTCGCAGATTTCTTTGTCACTTTCCGTATATGCCCCCCTATATATGGGCGGTGTGTGTGTGTGTGTGTTTGTGTACTCACCTAGTTGTGCTTGCGGGGGTTGAGCTTTAGCTCTTTGGTCCCGCCTCTCAACCGTCAATCAACAGGTGTACAAGTTCCTGAGCCTATTGGGCTCTGTCATATCTACACTTGAAATTGTGTATGGAGTCAGACTCCACCACATCACTCCCTAATGCATTCCATTTGTCAACCACTCTGACACTAAAAAAAGTTCTTTCTAATATCTCTGTGGCTCATTTGGGCACTCAGTTCCACCTGTGTTCCCTAGTGCGTGTGCCCCTTGTGTTAAATAGACTATCTTTATCTACCCTATCAATTCCCTTGAGAATCTTGAATGTGGTGATCATGTCCCCCCTAACTCTTCTGTCTTCCAGCGAAGTGAGGTTTAATTCCCGTAGTCTCTCCTCGTAGCTCATACCTCTCAGCTCGGGTACTAGTCTGGTGGCAAACCTTTGAACCTTTTCCAGTTTAGTCTTATCCTTGACTAGATATGGACTCCATGCTGGGGCTGCATACTCCAGGATTGGCCTAACATATGTGGTATACAAAGTTCTGAATGATTCCTTACACAAGTTTCTGAATGCCGTTCTTATGTTGGCCAGCCTGGCATATGCCGCTGATGTTATCCTCTTGATATGGGCTGCAGGAGACAGGTCTGGCGTGATATCAACCCTCAAGTCTTTTTCTTTCTCTGACTCTTGAAGTATTTCATCTCCCAGATGGTACCT